GGTCAGGGGGTAATGGGTGTAAATCGGAGCATAGGAGGTAGGTGGATGTGCGGGGCGGGCAGCGCGGGGGGCGGGCGGGCAGCCGCCCTGCTGGGCAGGTGAGACTCCGCGAGGCGTGGGCGTGGGCGTGCTCCTGCCTGCCGGGGTGTGCGTGTGGGTCGGTGCGTGTCTGCGCGCCTGTAACCTCTGTAGCACCCGGGTCACTCAGTTGCGTGCGGATCCAGCTGCTCCCCGCGCCGGCGGGGATCGCGTTTCCCAGCCCGGCCGGTTCCCGCTGAGTCCCGAGAAGAGCGTGAGTGAGCAGCGTCCGCTATCGATCACGTATATGCTATAGGTACACATGTTTTCTACGCATGCAACACAGTTATTGGGCTGCAGGCTTTTCCTAATGGCACCGGGCATTCGGCCTCGGGAGGGGGGAGGGATGGGGCGCGGAAGAAGGGGCTAATAACGAATTAATTGTAGATGAGAAGTAATATCCGTCCTTGAGTCATCAGTCTTAGAGGCATAATTTCGTTCTGAAAGCTCTTAATCAAACTGGAGATCTACTATAGGAAAGCACTGCTTTTCCCATAGGATTATCAGATTTCCACCAGAGAATACAGATCCTGGATTATTGAGCTACATGGGATTTGCGTGTTTCTTTCTAATTAGTCTGAGAATCTGAGTTTAAATTCTATATTTGAAGGGGGGTGGGGGGGAGTAATTTGCTTCTAAACGACTGAGTGTCCCTTTTTTCTGACATTTTACACAGTTACTCCGGTTATCCTGTGCTCTGTAGATGATTTGCTGCCTTAATTGGATATTAGTGTCAAAGGTTGATTAGATTCCCTAATAGATTTTGGATCTGCAAGAGGATTGCAGTTTTAAATGCATAGTTAAAGGAATCTGTTTGCCATCTCCCCTCGAACGGTTGAGAGGAAGACTGATGTATCACATTTGTGTTATCTTCTCTTTGGTTTATTAATGTATCATCATGAAGTTGTCGCCTTTGGTTTTCTTGTTATTTTTTCCCCTCTGCTATTTCCTTTGCAGACCAAAAAGAAATTAATGTCAGAGAGGATTTGTTTAATCGTTTAACAGCTGACACAAGGCACATCCCTAGCAAAATGCTGGTGAAAGAGTAGAAGATTTTTGAGATACAGCAGCTCTGGTACTGTGAAGCCTCTTCAGCGGGTCAGGGGCAGCGTTTGCTGAAGGATGTGGTAGCCCAGGAGTCAGGGCTTGCCGGGACGAGGTTAATGGCTTGCATGGAGCTGCTCTACCTGGCTGAGGAGAGCAGGCAGGTGTCCCTGGGCACTGCTGCTGGCTGGAACCTGCCCTCCCCAACCTACGAGCAGCAGCAGCAGGGTGAGGGGAGTGAGGTGGACCCCAGAGCAGCTGCTGCCGTGGCAGCGCCTCACTGTGACAGGCATTGCAAGCCCTTGCAGAGGGGCCCTGTGGCTGAGCCACCCTCAGCACCCCAGCCCTCCACCTGGGGCACCTCACCCCAGGAACACCCCACACCCCCCGACACTTCCCAGCCCTGCCACCTGCCCGAGCACTTGCCTGGGGAAGAAGATGGAGGGAAGAAGAAAGCCTGCTGTTGTGCCCAGGAACTCGAGACCTCATTCACCTGCGTGGATGAAAATGTAAACTTGGAGCATGCAAGAAGTGCCCTGAGTCCTACGGACAACCACTGCCATGATGGCCCTCTGCAGCAATGTTCCTGCAGGGACCTGCCGCCCGAGTGGGTGCATGATTCCCCTTCCCTGGTCTCTGAAGAGGATGATCCCGCCTCAGAAGCGGCGGCCGGGAAGTCTGTGGATTATGGGTTCATTAGTGCCATTTTATTCTTGGTTAGTGGCATTTTGCTGGTGATCATTTCCTATGTAGTACCCAGAGATGTGACTGTGGATCCTAACACCGTGGCTGCCCGGGAGATGGAGAGGCTGGAGAATGAGAGCGCTCGGATCGGGGCTCACTTGGACCGCTGCGTTATCGCTGGGCTGTGTCTCTTAACCCTGGGGGGAGTGGTGCTCTCCAGCCTGCTGATGATGTCCATGTGGAAAGGGGAGCTGTACCGGAGGAGCAGGTTTGCATCCTCCAAGGAGTCTGCAAAGCTCTATGGGTCTTTCAATTTCAGAATGAAGTCTGGTGCAAATGATAATATACTCGAGCTGTCATTAGTTGAGGAAGATGTGCTTGCTGTAGATAATTAGCGTGGTCATGATTTTTAAGGCAGCATTTCTACAGGAAAATATGTTTCATTAACGAAAACAGATGCAGCTAAAGATATCTGGTGATGCAGTTTTTTTGTCTGACAAGAGTGGTTTTTTTCTTAAGCTCTGTAATCGAATGTTTGCAGTATATGAGCACTTGTTGTAAAGGGAAAATGTGCCAGAGAAAATGTAACTGATATAAAATAATGGAAACTACTGAATGCAACTGATATAAAATAATGAAAAAAAAGAGACAATAAAAAGAGATTTGTGATAAGTAGGTTCCTCAGATAGTCCTTTATCCTAATATAAAACATTCCATTGGTGTCTTGCCTATATAATTTTCTTATTACTCCCATATAGAAGAAGAAATGACCTTGACACTTTGGAGGCTGTTAATTATTGGAGCCTGCAGGATTATTAATGGACTGTTAAGAAGCAGGACCAATAATCAAATAGCAGGGCTAATATTTAATTAAGAGAGATGCATTTTTATCCTTCAATTTTAAGCTGATCCCTTCTCTTGTATTGATTGAGAGCTGGGGAAAAAAGAACACCACTTGGTCATGACTTGCCACAAATCTCCTATATTTGCAAACAATTGTACAATTAGTGATGATCATTTAAAATATAAAATAAGAGGCAAAGGGCAGGGAACCATATGGCCCATGGTATTGGTAGGAGACAAAAGGCTCTTTCAGCTTGAGGTCAGTGGCTCCATTTCAGTTCAGATTAGCAATGATTGATAGGCATTAACTTCTGATAGCTATAGTGGCCCATATAAAAGAAGTTTAGTTCCTGGTGGACAGATGTCTTTGTGTGAAAACTGCCATAACTCGAATTAACTGACCTCTTCCTGAAGTCTCAAAAGACCCAAAGAGTAAAAAAGCATAGGGATGCTGAAACTGAACACTTCTCCTTCAGTACAGATGCCAGAAGAAATTCAAGCTCAGCTGTAGACCTTTGCTTACACTGGGGCTGTCTGCATCTTACTAGGCCTTTTGAAAATTTGGTTTTATGTCACTCGGCTGTCAGCCTTCTCATAGCCAGTAAGGAAGGGTCAGGAAAGAGCTTCCTGGGGCTCATTCAATGGAAACCAATTTATTTGTAAAAAATAAATTGTCAGGAAATATAAAGGTTAAATATCATACAGTTGGACTGGCTGACCCAATACTCATTTAACGTAGGCGATGATGAAGGGTACATGTTATTAACCACAGTTCTATGGCACAGTAGCCAAAAACCTGTACCAGTGATGCTATTTACCTTATTATCAACCAGATTCTGTGGAACATTAAAACTGTGTTCTTGCAGTGCTGGGAAAACCAACAAAGATTGGTTTTCTGACAGTGCTGCTGTCAGTTCTTACTGAACACTGGTTAATATATATATATGTCCTGTTAACATATGTATGTATATTAATATATATATGTATGTGTCCCTGCCAAAGCCAACATGAATGAAGAGATCTGTCTGTATAGACCCTGTCTGCTGAGTCTTGGTAGAACCATGTGATTCACAGTCACAGCCTTGTCAGTTGTGACTTAAGTCTCAAATATCAGCAATATAAAATATTTTTTAGATTGTACTTTTTCCCCTGTTGTGACATATCTGGGAAGAGTTTTTTTGTGAAGGGGGAGGAGATATCCTTTATGTCCCCCTTACCCAGGAATATGTGGCAGCACAAGGTTCAGAATAACAAATAGCCAAGGGCAATATGGGGTCCTCTTTTGGTGATACTGAATGCTATTTTCCCATCTGGTTCCTCATTCCCTCTTCTCTGGCTGCTCATGTCAGGATACACATGCACCTGTGTCTGGCACTCACCTGGTTCAGTTCCTTGTGCTTGCTTGCCAGAGGTGCTGGTGTGTGTGCCTTCAATGAGGGCAAGAGGACCTGTGCAGCTCCAGGTTCATGCCTTTGGTCACTGTAAATACTGTGATATGGTCCCCAGACTTTAATACTGGCCCAGCTGAAGGGGTGCTGCTTCAGCTATCAGCTATCTGCTGCTTTAGTTCAGTGTTATTTGGCAATTAAAAGAGCAGCCTTATTGGGCAGTGCTGCTGCCTAGATCATTTTGCCAGTTTATGTCATGATACAGAGTGCGTTTGCAGGCAGGAACTCAACAGTGGCCAGCATCTCCCCAGTCATCTTTGGAGAGCTTACATCACTCTGGATGTGTCATCAGGGATTCAGGATGGAATTTCTAGGGTAAATAAATGGAATAGCTTCCAGATGTGAAGAGAAGCCTTCAGCCTGTTGTGATCAGAGAGAGTGAGGAACAAAATGGCCTGAGAAGCAGGACAGAGAGAGGAAGGTTCCTACTTAGCTGGCCTTTGCCTGCTGGTGTGTACAAGGACACTGCCTGCAGAGCCTGCCACACGTGAGGTGAGGTGGTGGGACAGTGCTGCCTCCCACCCTGTCCTGACGACAGGAAGGGGTTGGTCTTGACCTTCAGAGTCCAGGGAAAGCCATGCCAATCAAGAGAGCACATAATGCTGAGCAGGGGTGGCAGCAAGATGGTGTGGGGCAGGAGACAGACTTCACAGGGAGTGGAAACCCTTTCACCCCCTCAATAATCACTCAACTCACCTACACAGCAGAGGCTCCAAAACTGTATCTGGAGGTTTTGAGAGCCATTGGTTTTGGTTTTTAATGCATAAAATTGGAGAACATTCTATTATTGCAGAAAGATGGCAGCCAAAGCTGTAAGGATCATGGATTTCTTGTAGGAACCATGGCATGCCTTAATGCTAATTATTAGCAGTAGAAAAGGAAACGTTCCCCTAACTGTCAGTATGTTATTACTGAGTGAGTTTTCTGACACTTTGTAAAATGCCTTTCATAGATCATGAGCCTGCAATACTTAAACGTACCCTCAAATTTTCCATGAGGGTTTTAAGGAAACAGAAGTCAACCTGATAATCTAAATATACACTGCAGAAGTGTGAGGAGTGAGAAAAGTTAAGTAACAGTACTAATCCATTTTCTTTATTTTGGTGTTAGTGTGAGCTACAAAAGAGGCAAAGGAAGACCTGCAGAGTGCAGGAGTTTAGCAGATAAAAACTCTCAGGACAGGATCTCTCTGATCACCCCAGATACCTTTACAAGTTACAGGACTGTGGCTTGGTGGTACAATATAAAATCTCTGGACGCTCAGGTTCTCATGCTGTGCAGTGCGACAGAGACCAAAACACCTGCTGTTGGGTGGCTGGTGGTGGGTAATGAAAGTATTAACCTGCTGCTCAAAGTGAGTGGCACGAGAGCACCTCACATCACTCACCTCGCACAGGTGGTACCAAAGGCTGATGCCATGGGAGATTAATTGCCCTCTTGTGCACCCCTGCAATTTGATTTCTCCTGCTCAAAATTTGAATACATTCAGGGTACAAGTATGAGGAGAATTATTGGGGGTTTTATTCCATTGCCTGGGCTAAAGTTGTCACATGGATCACTGGAGGGTTTTATTCTTTGGGGATCTAAATTTTGGGGAATACCAGGTGGGTTTTAGGTGTGCCCTGGAGTACCCTGCAAACATACCAGGATTTGTGCTGTCAGTCAGTTTATTTCTGACCGACCCTCACAGTGAAAGGTGACACTTTACCACCTTCTACCTCACAACACACCTGCAGGCCGGGCCCTGCCCTGGCCTCTGCCTTCCTGCCTGTGGGGCCGGAGGGGCAGCCCCGGGCTGGCTCCCCGCTGTGCAAACAGCTCCCTGGTGACCCCTTGTCTCCATTTCTTTTCCTCAGTTAGAATTCTGTGGCCCAGGCTGGCCCTTTGGGAATTGCCTGGCAGTTGCTGGGGACTCCCACCAAACGAGGCCCATCGCCAGGCACAGCCGTCCCTGCCTTCTCCCTGCCAGCCCGAAGCTGAAATGACTGAGACTCTCGCCTAGGAAGCTACTCTGGGTTGTTGCTGATTTTGCTATGTTTACAGTTTTTTACTCTTTGTAATTATTTAAAAAAATCTGTCTGTGATGAACATAGGGTTTACTGACTGGGAAAGCAACTGGTTTAGTCTTGTAAATCTTCCTTTTTGACCCATGACAGGGCAAAATGTGATAGTCCATCATGAGCTTTTCAGTAGTGCATTTGATGCCTTATTATAATCGTAACAGCATTCTGTACAGATTGAAAAATAAAAGTGTATAAAGCTGAGTGCTGTCGTTATAGTACTCTTTGCTCCTTGCTGAATGGCCACTTGCAGTGCCTGGCTCTCACCCTCCATGCCATCAGTACAACCCCTTGTCCCCAGCCACCGGGAGCCATGGCAGGATCCTGGTGGGGAGCAGGGCTGCCTGACACGAGATGACTCCAGATCTGGCTATGCTGGCACATCGAGCTTATCCCAGGCTCACCCAGCAACTCTGTCCCTGCTGGCAGGTCCTTCCCATTCCCTGACAATGGAGTCTTTAAACTGCAGTGCCAGTGTCCCACCTAACTCTGTATAACCAAAGAAGTGAGGAGAAAAGGAGAGTGGGACCAGACTGGGCTGTGCGATCAGGCAGCCAGGAGGGTGCTGCGGCAGTAGGTGGGTGTTGCACCCCGTCCACCATAACCGTGCACATCATCACTTCAGTACCACGTCCTCACCCCAACCTGACTTGGCTATGGCCAGGGCAGGACAGCAGCTGATGCCAGGCCCAGCACCAGTTGTGGTGATGACAGCTGTGTGCAAGGTCCCCAGAAATCGCTGGTGACAGCATCTGACACAGGGAGAGGCAGGAGCAGTGCTCCCAGAGGGCTGTGGGCTTGGCATGGCCACCTCCGTGGTGGCTCCACCTCCCTTTTCTAGAAGAGGCACAGCATGCTGTGACTGCACCAGAGTGGGTCCGTGACAGGGGCGTGCTGGTGTGGGGCCAGCAGGTACCAGTGCCAGCAGCTGAGCAGGTCCTCCAGGGAGCCATGGTTTGCTCCTGGCTTGCGTTCTTTGTTCCTGCCAGATCCCCAGTGCCTGTCAGTTAAGCACCTTTGCCACCTCTGACAACCCCTGCATCCCCCCAGATGTGATACAAAGGCATGGCATGCAGGTTTATGCCTTGTAATGTCATTTTTCATGACAGGATCAGACCTTTCCTTTCCACAGTCATGTGAATCAAAATGTGGGTGGGAGTGCTGTGGTGGGTGCGGGTCCAGGCTGGGCAGGGGTTGGTTGCTCTTATTGCCGATTTCCACAGTATCAGGTAAAACAGAGCCCTGATTCGCACTTCAGGTTTCAGGCTTTACGGCTGTAGCAGTAGTACATGTG